TTTTTCATTTACAGAAATGTAGCCGACCACCTGTAGAACCAATAATCATAAAAATAAAATTCCTCATTATAGGATATTAAACAACCCGTACCCCATTTACACAGAGCCACTTGTTATCAGTAGTTTCAAGCCCCCTTTTTTAAGTCAACAATGACACACACATAATCAAACATCTAAAAACCTGATCTGACCCTTTGACCTTTGTGTGTTTGTGTTCACAGTTCCAGGAAACCTGGGCAACCGTTTGGAGGCTAAGGTGAACAAGCCGGCGATAGTTAACTGGTTTTGCTACAAGAAATCGGAGCAGTGGTTCTCCCTGTGGATTAACCTCAATATGCTGCTGCCCGTCCTCGTAGACTGCTGGATTGACAACATCAGGTGACACTGACTAACCTTGGATGGTGCTTATCTGCTTGCGTTACCTTTCACCTTCGGGCTGATCACAGTTTTACCCTTTGCTCAACATTTTTGACCACCGTTATTCCTGTTGTTGATTAGAAGAAGAACCTTAAACCAACCACGGTTGACCCATCGATATGTTCTTGGTTCTGTCGGCTTAATGGTCTATTCCATTGTTTCCCTCAGGTGCCTAATAAGATAAATGTAAATGTCTTTGCTCTTCCATCAGACTTGTTTACGACAGGACCACACGGCGCTCCTCCAACTCACCAGGGGTGCAGGTACGAGTGCCGGGGTTTGGGCAAACCTATCCAGTTGAGTTTCTTGACAACAACAGACTTACCGGTGAGGAGAGTCCTGATTATAACACTGTTAGCCCTTTGGTCGTCTGCACTATTTAATCAAAAATGATTAAACGCCATGATTAAAAGGACACTGTGTAAATCAATCAACATAAGTCAGTAGTGTGTTACAGGTTAAGTCTCTTAATTACAGTCGTCCCTCATCTCTTGAGGGGGTTACGTTCTGATATCGCCCACGATAGGTGAAAAAAATCACGAAGTAGAGACGTGATAGTCTCTTAATTACAGTCGTCCCTCATCTCATCTCGCGGGCGGTATAGGAACGTAGGTGGAAAAAAAAAATCACGAAGTAGAGTAGATAGTTATTTTATTATTTACGTATATATTATCCCTTTGCAAACCCTTTATGAGGCATTGTAGGGTGTGAAATGTGGCAAAATAAAAAAAAAATGCATTGTAGGGTGTGAAATGTGGCAAAACAAAAACTTTCACTGTTGGCATTTCTCTTTGCAGGTTATTTTCACACTATGGTCAACCATCTGGTCAACATGGGCTACGTTCGTAATGAAACAGTGCGAAGTGCACCGTACGATTGGCGATTAGCTCCGAGTAAGAGACTCGAACACTCGTCACACTGCACTGTAACTGTCTCCAGTCTACAGCCCTCGTGTCTGTCTTCACCCCCACAGATGAAAATGTGGAATACTTCCAGCAGCTGAAGGATTTGGTGGAGGAGATGTACGAGCAGCACCAGCATCCTGTCTACCTGCTGGGCCACAGTATGGGCTGCCACTACACCCTCTACTTCCTCAACCACCAACCACAGACATGGAAGGACAAGTACATCAAGGGCTTCATCTCCCTGGGAGCACCATGGGGAGGCGCTGTTAAAGCACTTCGAGTCCTGGCGTCAGGTAACCCTTATAAACATTTGTAAACCTTATATAAGTCACTCTGGATAAACGTCTGCTTAATGCAAAATGTTATAATTTTCCCTCAAACATTAGCTAATAGTTAGCAAGAAAATGTGACAGTCACCTAAAATATATTAAAATAGTTAACATTGAATGTCGAATGATTAGCCATAAGCTAATAACGTTAGAAACCAAGAACAATTCAAAATATCAGAGTTGAGTGTTAAATTATATCATTACTTTTTCAGTCACTTCTTAATGACTTAATGACCCTTCAGGGAACAATGACGGCGTCCCGATGATTTCTAACATGAAGATCCGAGAGGAGCAGAGGATGACCGTCACCAATCTCTGGTTGCTACCATTACAGAGCGTCAGGGCCAAGGATCACGTGTTCATCTCCACGCCAACCTTCAACTACACCGGCCAGGACTACAACCGCTTCTTCATGGACATCGGTTTTGAGGATGGATGGTAACAAAGATCGTCCTCTTTAAAATCTTATTCTGACTTTAAGGCCTAGAAGTAACTGAATCACAGGGTGGGCCACTGTAGTCTACTGTATTTAGGAATGTTTGTGGAGTATTCACATCATCTGGAAGTCTCTTATATGACACGTTTTTATTTTTCATAAAACACAAGTTTTCTCACAGGTACAGTGTCAGGGGAGATGTTTACATACTGTACACCACAATCACACGATTCACAAAGCACATAATCACAGCCTGTGGGGAAAAAAAGACAAACATCATTTGACATTGATTTCTATTGGGAAAACTGTTTCAGTTTTCAAACTTTTCGGTTCACGAACGGCCTTCAGGAACGAATTAAAGAATTAGAGATTAGTATTCTAGATTAAATAATCTCTGCCCGCTGCTGTTTTCAGGTACATGTGGGAGGACACCAAAAACCTCACCGGCGACCTCCAGGCACCTGGCGTAGAGGTGTGGTGTATGTACGGCGTTGGGCTTCCGACCCCTGTGACATACATCTACGATGAGAAGTTTCCCGACGAGGATCCAGTGGACTACGTTTACGCTGACGGGGACGACACGGTGGACAGTTTGAGCATGAGTCTCTGCAAACGGTGGGTGGGGGAGCAGGACAAGCCTGTGCACGTCACCGAGTACAGAGGGCTGCCCCATCTGGATATTGTGTACAATGAAAAGGTGCTGACCCAAATCCAACAAATCCTGGAGGGCATATCAGAGACACCTGAGGAAATCGATGCCAGACCTGACACTCGAGGGAAACGGACCGGCAATTAAGAAAACAGAAAAGCCATTTCTAATACTTTTGAGTTCGTTTAAGGTTCATGAGAAGAGTAACCAGAAGGACTTTAGTCACTTTCAACATTTAGTACATTTACCTGCTATACAGATGTGCAACAGCTCCCCTGTTGGTCAGGAAATATATGCAAATGCACTGCTCTGTGTACATATTGAATTCTTTGTATGAATTATATGGAACAGCATATATGTAAAAACACGTATAAACATGTCATTCTGACCTATAGTATGTAAATATACAAATTGTACTTTGACATCAAATTCATCTCCTTTTATTTTATTAAGATATATATGATATAGTCCAGTATTCTGTATGTCGTTTACAACTTTCACAAATAGAAATATTCATCTGATCAAAGAAGTGTTATAATTAAAAAATAAAAGTAAATAAAGAAGAAAATGTGGTAAGTCTAAATGTTTCACACGTACACAGATACACACGTAATTCCTTAAGAAAGGAAACCTAAAAATTGGGAATATATTGAATAAAAAATTAATAAAAGAAAGAAAAAATAATTACTATAAAATAAGTTAAAAAGAGTTAAGTATAAACGCAGTCAAAAACAAACAATCTGAAATCGATTACTTTTGACTGTCTCTCGCCTGAGTGACGTCAACGAAAGGGTTGACTGCTCTGTTTACATCCTCGTGATCCTCTCGATTGCCAGTAAACAGTTGTGGTTAGTTCGTGGTAAACGCGTGAAGGGACAAAAAAAGAAGAAGCAACAGTTAAGCAAACATCGAAAAAGGTGCAGACACACCGTAAGATGAGCGGCCGGCTATGAGCGGTAGGGTTTGGAGCCATGGCGGCGGGTCGACACCGGATCACCGCTCTCTTTTCGCTCCTCGTGCTGGCTCTGTTTACGGTTCGTAGCAGCAGTAAACCGCTGGAGGAATATCCCGACAAAAACAGCTATCAACCACCGAGGCCTCCAGTGGTCCTTAGTAAGTGTCGGTCACTATTTTGACTGTCCTTTTTACGCTTGTTTTCCGACTGCTCTGTTGCAAAATGATTACGCAACTTCTGTTTTAGGTTTAGTGTCTACCAAGCCAAACTCCATTCAAAAGCATCCCTACTTGAACGTATTCTTAACTGTTACGGATATTTAATTCCAATTCAGTTGATTTGCTAGTTTTATGAAATTACTTTTTGTTTTTCTTTCATTCGGCATGCATATAGACACGCTTGCACACATGATTTCGAACTTTTAAAACGTTTGGCCTGTCTGTGTCTGTGTTCGAACTTTTAAAACGTTTGGCCTGTCAGTCCTGTTATTTTGACTCACCAAAACAACCAATGAGTCATTGCGTAATTACACATTACGATCTTGCCTTTCTTTAACATACATAAGCATTTTAGTCTGTATTTCTGTTGCTCCTAACATATTTTACGTATTATACAGATATATTCACGTGTCACTGTTTTAGGAAACTGGAAAACGCTGTCATGGGACCGGTCTTAAATTGCCTTATTTTTGAACAGGGATTGGTTAGAATGCGGTTGCGGTCGTTATTACATACAAAAGGCATCGTCTTCTCACCCAGTTATACTCTGTCAATCATTTGTAAAAACGAATTGTTCAATAAAGCCACTGTATCTGCTCATATTGTAGAATTGTCCGGTTTGTAACATAACGTTTGGGTTTATAGAGCGTCCGTTTACAGTCTGAGTCAAAATCATGTGACTGACAGGGAAAAGATCGGACTTTCCCAGATTTGTATATTTAGTTTCATTGACAATATAAGGGAGATTAAAGAACATCAGCATCCAAATGGAAAACAAAATATTATTGTATATTATATATATTTTTCGAAATCCTTTTTAGACGAAATTACAGATTTTTTCAATAATTTTCAGTGGAGATTTTGATATTTATACATATACAACGGAGGGTTCTAAAAATCCACAGTCTTAAGATGAGCAAATCGAAAAATATATATTTTATACATTAAATAAAATTACAACTCAATAGTTCAATATTCCCCCAGGGGCACAAATAAAGAAAATCTGAAATTAAATGGCCTTGCTGCTCCGAGCTGCCGAAGGGCACCTGCCCCTCACTTTGGGAACCAAGATTTTGTTTGACTCTTTTACATGTTCTTATAAGATAATAATAAGTAGGTTTATTTTACCTTGACATGATGACCCTGGTATGGAAGAGGCCTTAACCAACTCAGCCTTTTTGCTCCTGCCACTCACCTAGGGTCAGGGTCTGTGTCCTGTGTCGTGCTAACGTTACTCTCGTTGCTCCTTGCAGTACCCGGGGATCTGGGCAACCAGTTGGAGGCGAAGCTGGACAAACCCAGCGTGGTTCATTACATCTGTTACAAGAAAACTGACTCCTTCTTCACTCTGTGGCTCAACCTGGAGCTGCTGGTGCCGGTGGCCATAGACTGCTGGATCGACAACATAAGGTATGGTTGGATGGTTGGTTGGTTGGTTGGTTGGTTGGTGTGTGTCTGGTTCAGCTACTTTTTCTGCTTTGGTCTACTAAGTATTTTCTTCCCCCCAACTTCAACATTTTAGACATGTTTGGTTTCATGACAAACCTGTTCAGTCCAGTCAGACCATGAGGCTTTTGACTTTAGAAAAATGTTGTGGTCCTTTCTTTTATTTTTTGTTACATGTTACGTTTCATAGCACTGATGGTTTCTTATTGACAAACCTTTTGACATTTTTGTTGTATTTGAAAAAATGTTGTGGTCCTTTCTTTTATTTTCTGTTACGTTTCATAGAACTGATGGTTTCTTATTGACAAACTTTTTCACATTTTTGTTCTATTTGAGGATATTTCCACTTGACTTTTAATCATATTTGAAGACATTTAGCTCCTTTGCTAACTTAGCTTTGTTCTGGCAGGCTATGTTAACTTTTTTATTTCAAAATCTTTATTTATAAATTACTGTCTATGTCATGATTATCTTTTACCTACTTGTATGATGAGTAACTGTATATTTATTTTTATTTTTTATAGCTAATGTTAAGATAATTCAAATGAGTGTTTTAGCAATATTATTGCTATTTTGTTACTTTTTTTGGACTTTTTCATAACTTTTAACTATTTTTCTGTTTTCTCTTAACTTTTCAGTATTAAAAAAAAAGTTTAATCATTATGTTGGTCATTAATGCATGTAAAAGATTTATGCTACAGATGCCTAGCTGAACATTTTGCTCAGAATTTTGATACGTCACTGGAGTTTACAGGATAATGTGTCACTATCCACCCGAGGACTAACTACTTAATTGCACTTTTAAAAAATATTTTTCACAGTGTGACTTCCAAAATCTTAGGAAGGTAACAATGCTAATGTTACCATGGGACAAAAGGCTAAAATACACTTTTATTTGTTTTTCAGCAGATATAACAGCAGCACTATCTCCCCCTTCTGTTTACTCCAGACACTGTTGATAAAAGCTGGGTTCAAAAGTCACTTAAACCCCCGAATGTTGATTAGAGTTCACAGAAAGTCGACCAGGTCGTTGAACTCATCTACCCCGTACTCACTGCTGAACAACATTACGTGGACCACCAGCACACTACAACCATGCTTTGTAACATGCTTTGTAACTTGCCTGTGATTCATGTCGTCAGGAAACAAGGCACTGATTTCACTTCCACTCAGTCACACAACATGAACACATGTAAATGAGAACAGAATGTGTTATGTTGTACAATCGGTACTGAGGTTGTGGCTCACCACAGATTCACAACTACAGCTGACTTCCTCTTTATTAAAAACTCTCCAGACTGATCTACAACAGCACCACGCGGGCCACCTCTGCTCCTCCAGGCGTCGACATCCGTGTGCCTGGGTTTGGACAGACTTTCCCTCTGGAGTATCTGGACCCCAGCAAACGCAGTGTGGGTGAGTCAGAAGCTGTAAATCCAACTAAAATATTTAATATCGGGAAATTTTCGTTAAAAGAAAAAAATAACTTTTAGTACACCTCATTGTATTTGTGTGTGTCCTTCTCCCAGGCATGTATTTCTTCTCTATTGTGCAAGCGCTGGTGGACTGGGGATACACCCGAGATGATGACGTCAGAGGAGCTCCTTATGACTGGAGGAAAGCCCCGAGTAAACAAAGAAACACACATTTACATTACAAATACTGAACACAGGCGTTGAGAATCTGCTTCCACACTGTATGGAAATCAACTTCTCTGTGGATTTAAACCACTCCTGTCCTCCGCCATGTCTCCTCTAGATGAGAACAAAGATTATTTCCTGGCGCTGCAGCACATGATCGAGGAGATGGCGGAGAAAGCCGGTGGCCCCGTGGTGCTCATCGCTCACAGTATGGGCAACATGTACACGCTGTACTTCCTCAACCAGCAGCCTCAGGCCTGGAAGGACAAGTACATCAAGGCCTTCATCTGTCTGGGCGCACCCTGGGCCGGCGTGGCTAAAACACTCCGTGTGGTCATCTCGGGTAAGGAGGATTCTTCTCCCCTCCACCTGTTCCCTCCTCACAGTTACTGCAACGGTGAAAACAGAACTGTGTGGCCTGAAACAGAAGAACGTCGTACTTTTTTAGGATGTGAGGATGGAAACGAGCAGTGAAACCGTGAATCCACTCTCATTTCTCTCTTTCTCTCTCTCTCTCTCTGCAGGTGATAACAACCGCATCCCAGTCATCAGCCCGCTGAAGATTCGCTCTCAGCAACGCTCTGCCGTCTCCACTTCCTGGCTCCTGCCCTACAGCCACACGTGGCCCAACGATCAGGTGTGTGTGGGTGTGTGTGTTCAGTACCTGTTTTTGTCGTTGTGGTGTTCTGTTGCATTATGGTATAATTATTTCAGTTTCGGGGCTAATGTTGGATCCTGATCCAGTGTCTCTTTGGCCTGACCCAGTTTTTCTCAATCTTTTTTCTTTTCTACGGATCAGTTTTATGAGCAATGTGAAGTGGAGCAGCCAGATGGTGATAGTTTTTCAAAATAAAAAATAAAACAGAATGATGTAAATTAAAACAATACATATAAATAAAACTCACTGAACAGGCCGGTAACCAACCAATGATCTGTGGCCCAGTACTGGTCCCCGCCCTGGGGGTTGGGAATGTCAATGCCAAGATCAATGTAAACTCTGATTCTTACCATCAAGAATATACATGCTTTATTTTGGGACCAACCCTCCTCCCTCAGGTGCTGGTACAGACGCCCACCACCAACTACACCCTCCAGGACTACAAGCGTCTCTTCACAGACATCGGTTTCGAGGACGGCTGGCTGATGCGTCAGGACACCGAGTCGTTGGTTGAAGACCTCACACCCCCGGGCGTGGCCGTCCACTGCCTGTTCGGGAGCGGCGTGGACACCTCCGAGGCCTTCCAGTACTCTGACAAGTTCCCCGACGTGGAGCCCACGGTGGTGTACGGCGACGGCGACGGGACGGTGAACCTGCGGAGCGCCGTCCAGTGCAAGCGGTGGGTGGGCAAACAGAAACAGCCCGTGAAGTTAGTGGAACTCCCCGGCAACGAACACGTGAACATGTTGCTCAACTTCACCACAGTGGCTTACATCAAGACCGTCTTGTTTTCGCCTTGACAGTAGGGGGCACTAAGGGGCAGGTAGAGGACTGGTCTCGTCTGTCCCTGAACAGCCACTGCCAAAACATTCACCTCCACCCGCTGCTTTGAAGAAGTATTGAGATGTTTTATAGTAGAACAAACAGAATCAGCTCTAATTCTAGATTTAAAGCAGTTTTTGTAGCTGTGATTTTACCTGTCGATGCTAATGTCGTTGCTGGGCAAATGTTTTATACTAATTTAATACCACTTTGAAGGGATCATTTGGATTTGTTTGGAGATTGTTTTTGAGAGGTTCTGTCTGCAGCATCCATGTCCACGGCTGAATACTGCAGATGGCCTGAATCTCATGTTGCCAAACTTAAAAAAATGATCAAACTGCTACAGTTTAAAAAAATATTTAGCTTTCTAATATTGTAATGATGAAGGTAAATCTAAGTTTCACTTTCAGATGTGTCTCAGTCTGGTCTGGGTCTAATGTTTTATCAGTGTTGTGAGTTTCTTTGTGATCAACTCTGATTGTGACGATCATGAGGCCAAATGTTCAAGCACATCTGATTTTGTTCTTCTTTATCTCAGTGCCGTAGGTCACGTGTGTCCGCGCTCGTAACATATTTTTAAATGAGTTTACAATGAGAAGATGATTTTACAGATACTCTTATCACCTTTGTCATCATTTTCATGTCCTTATTTTCATTTTCTTTTGTGTAGAAAGTACAAAAAAAACCACCTGGAAAATGCAATGTTACTTGAGCCTTAAGCCGAAGAACTGGAATCCACTCTGGAATATTTTATATTTTCAATGCACTGAACTCACTAAAGTGTCATAAAATTGTTTTTTTTTTTAACGACTATTTATAATTGTACACAACTAGACAAACTATGACGATTATGAAAAACTAGAAACTTTATTTAAACCAAACATTGATATAATAAAACAAGTGGGCAATTATGAACCTTGATTGTCTCTGTGGGAGGAGTCATTCATCATTATTTTGAATGCAAAATAAGATAAGAGATATTCATCTGTCATTCATCTGAAGAGTCCTGCTCCTGATGATTCCAGGTGTCACTCTTATCTGGTGTTTATGGCTCCAGGGGGAAGCGGAAGACTTTGTTTCCAGTCTTGCAGCGCAGCTCCTCTCCGTCCATCCTCAGGACAAATGTCCCGTCTTCACGGTTGTCCATCACACACTGTAGGATTAAAATCAATAAAACACATTAGAAAAACAATTTGCCCAAAAATATGATTTTATCATGCTTTCTTTTTTATTAAACAAAATTAGCTCTAGACAAATTCTGACCGAATACAATGAACCATGCAAAACATTAGAAACTGAAATGATGTTTTTTTTGGAAATGTATATGTAATGTAATGTAAAATATATGTGACAAATGTATGAACCCCAGAGGTTAGGTGTAATAATGCAGTTATACTCACAAATCTTCATTTACTTTTCTCGCTTAAAAGTTGCCTGTATCTGAAAATATACAATGTTCAAACTTACCTGTAAATCCCACATGCATTCCTTCATTTTCTCCGTCTGGTCTCCAACACACCAGGCCAGGCTCACATGAAAAGACGGCTCCTGAAAAAGGAAGAATATCAGGAGGTTGTTCTTTTACACAATATAGTTTTATTTATTTATATATGTACAGCGGACGTACAGTCGAAGGTTATGTCAGACAACACTTTTTTTGGTGACGTACTTTGTAGAAAGTGTCCAGGTGGAATTCTGTCATTGTTCTGTCAACAACACGCACCAGCTCTAGCAGGTGAGCTTGACTACAACACACTTCCATCCCCAAGAACGTCCTGCAGGGAATCAAAGAAAAAGAAGAGATGTTTGGTAAATTAAACCCAGAAATAAAAAAAAAAAAGAAAAGAAGAAGATGTTTGGAAAATTAAAACCCAGAAACACAAAGGAATGTAATAATGATCTCAGGTAAAGTAGGATAGTGGTCTGTACCTTGTCCTCTCAGCATTACAATAGATCTTTAGCTTACTTGCTGTGCACACAAACCTGAAACAGAATTCAATCACAGTCGTCCAAAAGTCACTCCAGCACTTCTGCAATTCTCCTACTGATAAGGGATCATATTCAAACTGACAAATCATTAGGTGTAAAGTGACACCAGTAGATAACCTCACCTTTTACAGCGTGCCAGGTCAGTCCTTAGGCTCTGAGTAAAAGGCTGGATCCAGTGGTGTCTCAGCACCACTGTCTGAGACAAGCTGAGGTGGAACTCTTGTTGTGGAGTCAAAACCACACCATGTGACCTTGCAGCTGCGATCAAATCCTCCATCACCTCCATAAACTCCTCCTCAGGATGATCTGATTGGGAAATATAACAACGTTTTTTTAAACAGTTTCATGTCTGTCTGCTTATTCCACTCCCAGTAAAAATCTCAGACCCTGTCTATAAGTCTGTAACAAAGCAAATGTGTGAGAGGGTGATATGGAGCTAAAATCGACAGAGCTTACATGGCAAATAAACATAAGTGGCCCAGTTTCCCCTCTCGTGTTTGAAGGAGCGGATTCGTCCACCATGAAGAGCGCTGTCATCAGTGTTTGGCTCCTCTTCATCTGGAAACATGGTCATTAGGCAACCAGGAAGAGGTAACCTAGAGGAAACAGAAACCACAGTTATCACCATCACTAAGTGCAGCAACCGACACGTTCTGTTTCATTACAGACTGCTTCATAATATAAACCTTGTTTTGGTGAGTTTTTCTTCCGTCCTGGGTCTCTTCTTCACCGGACAGCCATCATCACTTCCATCCTTTTGATACTTTTGAAGCTTTGAACTTCTGTTTAAATCCTCGCCGTCTTCCTCCCCCTCTGAGCTGCTGCTGTAGCCAACCAACATCATAACAGTCTTTAAAAACTTAATTTAACTTGCAAATGCGTCATTTTTTATTTATAAAATAGTTTAAAAACCCTAAGGCAATGCGTCATTTTTTATTTATAAAATAATGCAAAATAGTTTAAAAACCCTAAGACAGCTTTTTCACATTTTACGCGGTGATCCGTCCCTGCCCTGCGCTACACTTCCGGTGTAAACAACTCATCGTTGCGTTTTCATTATGTGTCCCAGGGAAACAATCATCGGCTCTGCAGAGTTCCCCTTTCTCTGCTTTCTTCTTCTTTTGTCTTCTTTCTGTTCGTTTCCTTCTTATAAGGTTTAAGGTCTGTGTCAGACACACAGTAAGAGAGAGCACATTAATTTGTAAATATGTATTGTAGGTCCTTTGTATAAAGAATAGAGATTCACAGAATGTAAATGAAATATTTTTTAGTTTTACTAATTCAAACCAAATTTATATCCAAATCCGCTGTACGTTAAAACAACACAACTTCAAAAGTTGGGACAGAGACAGACGAAGGCTCAACACTGGGTCAGGATCCTTTCTTTATGTACAATTCAAGATATTTGGAATCTGGAAAAAACAACAACCCAAAAACAAACAAACACCAAAAACAAAACAGTTCTGGACTGTAGCTGGTTGAAATGTCGCCTTTCTTGTTATGTTTGATGGACTTAAGCTGCTAAAAAGTCAATAACATTGTCGCCCAACTCTGCTCCCGATATTTTCAATTAAAGGCTGGTCTAGACTGCAGACCGGCCAGTGACTATAAAACTGATGCGCCTCCGCCAATTCAAGTCCTTTATTGGACTGTGCTTTTACACGTACATTTAGAGCATACATCTGTTTCCATTTAAAAACGTCAATTGAAGAATTCCCCAGAGTTGTAACTGATTGATTTAATGAATTGTGTTTAAAGGGGAACGAGTGTATGCGCGTGCGCGAGTGTCGTGCACATGCTAATTGAGTGTTCAATTCGTGTTCCTGTGCGCGGGCAATAGCAGCACCAGCAGCTCAGACGTAGCCGCTGTTGCTAAGGTTCCCTCGGTGTCCCGCTTCAGGACAAAAATGCATGTTTTCGACCTGATGCGGTGATGCCAAAGGGGTCACTCACGTGTACACGTACAACCAGGGTTTATGTGGACAGTTTCAAACTGGACTAAACAATTCGCCCACCAAAATCCCATTTTTTTCGTTCCCTGGAGCCGAGCAGTGGAACAAGAGGGAACCCAGCAAGCGCCGTTTGCGGATATGAACCGAGAGACAGCAGCGTTATATGGGGGAGTAGCTTAATGCTAACCTCCGATATATTGGGATTTTATTCAGTTTACCCCGGGGCAGAAGGTATGTAGAGTGTGCATTCGTTAATCGCCAGCAAAAGCTTTTATGAACACTATTTTACCACAACACTATTTTTATTTCTTCTCGCGCTCCTGACTGCTGTGTTAGCATAGCTGGCTAACTAAGCTAAGCTAATTATCTTTTTTTTTACACTTTTCTAAAATTGTAGACGATATCACGCTTTACCCTTGATTGTGTTGTAAATCACTCATTAATTCACACATATACATTAACGTTATTTGGCTTTGACTACGGTCGGAATTAACGATTTTACGGAGCTTATTTACCATTGAAGTGTAAACATTAATGGGTGCCGTTCACTACCTGTGTTTACTGCTGATAAGTTGTCAGTACTTCATGTTTGTGACGAACTAAAATTAATTAAACGTGATGTCCCAAATAATGACCCCCCAATCACATTTAAGCAGGGGATGTTATGTGAACAAATCGTCTTAATTACCCGGAAAAAATAATGTACATAATTGTTTTTATATGAACTGTAGTCTAATTGTACTTTCTGTGGCCACCATTGGTTTTGAAAGATACTTTGGTATGATTGAAACAGCTAACTTATTTGATGTTTAAAGTCGTTTATAACACCATCATATGCTGAATGCAGTAAACTTGGATGATACTCCTCTCCTTCTCTCTATAAAACATATATTTTAAAATATAATACAAATGCTGTCCAAGTGCACAGATGTTTAAATGGACTGCATGGAATATGTGGTTGTTAAAGCTCAAACAGAAAGCCTGATTGTTTATGATATATTTATATCTTGCTTTTTTTCCCCACACAGGCAAAAACTGAAAGACAAAACTAAATACCGTATTGGAAGCTTTTAGAACGCCACAAGGTTCTCTCCTCTACATCGCTGTTCCTGTGATCTGTCCCAGATCAGTTGCCATCCTTTCCTGCCAGGTTGCCACAGCCACTATTGGAGATGGAGTAAGTTTTTTTTCTTGTTCTTCTTTATTCCCACACTCTGCATCCTTATTGTAGGTTCAGTCTATAATTTCTGTTTTATGTTGAATGTTTATTTACATCACTGCTATCATTTAAAGTTGTTATCATTTTTGTTTGGTGTAATTTCAAGTGTGTTGACAACAAATAGATTTAGATAGAACTTTATTAACCTTACTATTACTATTATTCTTTACAAAAATAGCTTCTTGTGTATTCATTTTTGGTTATGTTTGTACTTTAACTCAAACTGTAAGTTTGGCTCAGTAAAAAAATGAATGAGGTTTAATTGAAACCAGGAATAATATACCTGCACTCCAGGCCTGTAGACTAACATTTTAAACTTCAGTCTGCTTCTTTGTAGTCTCTGGTCTAGTTTGAGTCACATGTGAACACACAAGCTCTGCTGCAGATATTAACTGCTTTAATTTCTCCTTCCGGCTGCAGTTGGGCAACTCCATCGGCCAAGCTGAACCACTACACCCGAGCCCGCATGTCAGAGGCCTGGCAGCAGCATGCGGTTCCACCACCTCCAGTTGTCCACAGCATCCCTACAGGAGCCGAGAACCAACTGGGCTGTGCCGTCTACGGTATTGTACTGCAGCAGGACGCTACGTCGCTACAGCAGCAACAGAACCAGCATGCCCAGCTTAGCCAGCACGGCGGTGGGCAGCTCGGTCAGCAGCAACAGCAGCACAGCTCCCAGGTCCCGCAGACCTCTCTGCAGGTCGGGGCAGAAGGAGGACACAAGTGTGGGGCTTGTGGACATGACATATCCCACCTGGCAAATCCACACGAGCACCAGTGCATGGTGACGCAGGACAGGTCGTTTCAGTGTACGCAGTGCTTGAAAATTTTTCACCAGGCTACAGACCTGCTGGAACATCAGTGTGTTCAGGTGGAACAGAAGCCATTTGTCTGTGGTGTTTGCAAGATGGGATTTTCTCTACTTACCTCTCTGGCCCAGCACCACTCGTCCCATAACAGCAGCAACCCAATGAAGTGTTCAATATGTGAGAAGACCTACAGACCCGGCTCGTCTGGTAACTCGTCAAACAGCCAACAGCAGTCCAACAGTGATGGAGCTTCAACCAGCAGCAGTTCTTCTATTCTGCCTTTTCCATCGGCCCGGGACCGGCCGTACAAGTGCTCTGTTTGCCAGAAAGGTTTCAGACACCTGTCAGAACTCGCGCGGCACGAGCGGGTTCACACGGGCGAGAAGCCCTTCAAGTGTGACACGTGTGACAAGGCTTTCAGCCAAATGTCGCATCTGCAGCATCATCAGAAAACACACAGCAACGAGCGGCCGTTCAAGTGCGCTGTCTGTGAAAAGAGCTTTAAGCACCGCTCTCACCTGGTGCGCCACATGCTGGTGCACTCTGGCGAGCACCTGTTCAAATGCAACTTGTGCGAGCTGCACTTTAAAGAGTCGTCGGAGCTCCTTCACCATCCCTGCCACCCGCAGGGCTCTCGACCGTTTCGCTGTGCTGCCTGCGGCAAAGGATTTAAAAGGCCGTCGGACCTTCGCCAGCACGAGCGCACACACTCCGAGGAGCGCCCCTTCCACTGTGATGAGTGTCAGATGAGCTTCAGGCAGCAGTATGCTCTGGTGCGACACAGACGCACGCACAAAGACCCCACAGACCGACCGTTCAAATGCAATCTGTGCGACAAGTGTTTCATGCAGCCGTCTCACCTCCTCTACCACCAGCACGTCCATGGCATGGACAACCTGTTCAAGTGTGCCTCGTGCCAGAAAGAGTTCAGCCAGTCTGGGGAGCTGCTAAGACACAAATGTGGCGAGCCGTCCAACAGCTCGCCGGACAAACCGTACAAGTGTGACGTCTGTGGTAAAGGCTACAAGAAGAGTTCCACGTTACAGCGCCACCAGAACTCCCACTGTCGTGAGAAGCCCCTCAAGTGTTCCCTCTGCGACCGCCGCTTCTTGTCGTCATCGGACTTTGTCCAGCACCGCTGCGACCCATCGCGGGAAAAGCCGCTTAAGTGCCCGGAGTGCGAGAAACGATTCAAATACATTTCGGACATGAACCGACACGTGCGCACGCACACGGGCGAGAAACCGTACAAATGCGAACACTGCAACAAGGGCTTCAAACAGAAGGAGCATCTGACCAAACACCAGAGCACGCACTCCAGAGAAGGCCAGTTCAAGTGCGTCTGGTGTGGAGAGCGTTTCAGTGACTTGGGCTCTTTGCAGGATCACACTGTGCAGCACACGGCAGACGGAGGCGGTTACCCAGTGTCCCAGTGCTTATAGGTCACTGTCAAAGTTAGACCCTCAACACAGTAGCCTCAACTCCAGGCCCTTTTGTCTACGTTTGTAGTCTATTTATTCTTCCTAGATTTGGGACATTTTCAGGACAGTAGAGACGATTACTGTTGCATTATTTCCCTTCCACGTTACATCTATACTCTTTTTTTTTTTTTTTTTTTTTTTTTTTACCTCA